CTTATTGAAGGAGATTTAGTGATGTTACGCGTGATGCAACGATGGTTTTCTCTGATGCCGCAGGATAATTCTGAGATTGACAAAGTTAATTGGGAGGCATTCCATTCAGTGCAATGGAAAAAATGCAATTGGAGAACATTCTTAGAGTTGAAGGAAGTTACGTTGTTAGCTGAGACAATAGATAGATGTAGGATATTTTTCCGATAATCGTGTTAAAGTCATTTGTCAATAATGCTCATAGTGATTTTGACGCGTTTTTTGGCAGAATGACTACAGAAAAGCTCACCGCAAAGCGCTTTGACCCAAGCTGGTAACTAAATACCCACTAACCTCTCCAAAAGGCTTCCCAAACAAATGCAGATGGAACGATTTAGGTTGTGTATGAGTAACCAAGAACAGATAATCAATTTTCCTCCAAATGGTGTTCAACTCATCATTGTTTAAAAGTTATGCTTCATTCATAACTGGCAAGGTTGCACCAAGATAGTCAAATTCACTCTCAAATTCAAGTGCTATAATGATGTCTAGATCCTCTAAGCGTGCAAATTCTTCACGCAACTCACCAAAAAGTTGTTTGTATACATCATGGGATGAGAATAAACATAATATTCCAATGCTTTCTAATGAAGTTGCTCAAGATAGCATGACATAGACATTTTGTAGACAAGTAGTGCTAGCAAGATCAACAATGATGTTTCATAATGAACGTCCCTGGAATTTGTAATCTGTAAACGCAAAGGCTGGCAGCATAGGTAATTGCCTTCTTGATATTGAATGTGACGTCTCATTAATTTTGTATTTGAATGTAGTGGGTGCTGGAAACACAGGCACCCTTCCTTCCTCTAATCCAGGCAAAGTCAATGTAGTGGCGGGTACATGAACTTAAGCACACCATGCGTAATGATGGCCCTCTTCGTCAGTCTCCCATATAACATCCCTGAGGGTCCCCTCACTTCCATTAACTACTTTGCTATTGATTGCAGCATTCTCTGTGATCATCACCGGCATTCCTGGAACTAGCGGTAAAGATCCAAGGGCATCCTTCAAAACTGTGGACCTAATCTTCTATGGACGGTCTCTTACATAAATGTACAAACCGCTTTTTGAACCTTACAATGTCTTAATGGCTCAATCAAGACCATTCAAGACAATGTTGAACTAAGACATTTCAAGCAAATTAGGGTTCTTGTTATGACTTACAAGCGTCCAACAATTGCATCTAAATGGGATGCAAATATCTGTAAAATAAAAGGGGAGCGGAATGCTCCCCAATACTTCTAGTAATATAAGAATATATTATTATGGATACTACATTGGATATAAATACAAGTGGGTGAACTCACTGATCTCTCCGGTCCAACAGCCTCATATAAAAAGGCCAGATCTTCTAGCATAGACTTTGAGAACAACTGACGAGATTCCTGAGACCTGAAGTCAGGCATAGTATCGAATAAATACTCCAACATTGCCTGTGCTGAAGCACTGAAACTGTTACGCCACTTGTAGACTCGTTGGCCAAGCTAAAAGGGTATGTGAGATGTAACAAAGAAGAAAAACATGGGGAAATTACTTACTACACAATAAACAGGACAGTTCACACTAACATGGTACACAATATCAGGATACACAATATCCCAGATCGCCTGCATAGCAATTAATACTTTGGGATCATTGAGATTCCATGGATTCTTGGAGGTACCAAGCCATTGCTGAAATGTTGGTACAAAGACCAAGCACCATCTATTGTCTATGTGACATCCCTCAGGGAGATCACGGGTTCTTTGACTTCACTCAAGAGCTGGGCATCTCCTTCTTGATTCGTTTTGTCAGTGGTTTTTCTTTTATTGTGACCAGATTCTAAAAGCCAGTTCAGTGAGTGGACTGTGTAGAGTAGGGATACGTACTGATGTAGTGGTCCTCTTTTTCCCTTTTAAAGCTATTCGCTCATCTGCTTCATCCTCATCCGAGTCAATGAATCCACCAGGATGATACAGGCTGCCATCATTATCGTCATTTGCATGGGCATTAGATGAGTTGGCCGTGCTACATAAGGATGTTAGAGCTGTTGAAGTTGTTTTTTTGGACTTTTCAATGCCAGTAATTTGAGACGACAATCTGCTGTTCGTAGCAAGTAGTTTGCCCTGGCTTTTGATGGAATCAGCATTGCTAGCAACATGATTAGCCCAATCTTCAACTACATCAAGTTCAAAGGATTGCACAGCTGAGCCATCCAATATTCTGAGATTGTGGTAAAATAGAGTTGAGGGTGTAAGTAATATCATGGGTGACAATTGCATGCGTATAATGGAATCAAGCAAATTAGGGAAAATGACTCGAACCTGACATGCGGCTGTTGCCTCCCACGTTCTGATTGACTTAGTGGCAGCTGATGGTTGATAGATGCACTGATGAGGCAAGGCACCTTCTGATTAACCGGGCCATCAGATTGTTTACACAGTGCACTGACAGCTTCCCTCATGTTCATCTTTTTCTTCTTCTTTGGCCGCTCTTCCTCGTCGCTTTCTTCAACGTCCTCTCTGGCCCTCTCATCAACTTCAGTATGCTTACTAACTCTTCCTCTTGTAGCAACACCCAGGCCCCCACTCTCATTGATTGAACAATCACCTGGATCAGCCATATCAAGCTGAGTCCCATCATCAAAGTCTCCGCAATGAGTCTCTGCAATGCCTTCCTCACTGGCAGGAATATCAATAGCTTGGCTGCTTCTGCATTGAACTTGAGATGATGGTGGGGTGGACAGGTCAGAGTCTCCTTTGTGTTGTTCATTACCTCCAACAGACACTCTTTCTTCTTTGCTATCAGGAATGACCATGTGGTTGCTTTTCTGATGCCTGGGAGCAATGCCAGGTCCTGAAGTCTTTGATGCCATCTTTGGCTGAGCACGCTGGCGCTGAGAAGGAGGTGGAACTGGATTTTCTGCTGCTAAGTCTTCCCTTGCTTGTTTGTCTTCCTCTTTTTCCACAGCTGAAAGTGCCCGCCTGATAGCAAGTGCGGTCATCTCGTTGTTGTGGGCTTTGTTTTTTCTTTCTTCTGCTACTTTGGTTCGTGTCTGACACTTGGGCTGAGCGTCCAACACAACTTGTCCAGGGTGCTGGCTTGCATTCTTGGCACGAGTGATTGGTCGGCTCATAGTTAAGAGGATGAGGCAAGAGGTAGAAGTGAGAGATAGAAATGGGGTACATATTGAAAATCCTTTTTGCACTTATGGTGTGGCTAATAGCCTGTTGCACGCCCAGGGTAATGTGACTCAGAAAATGTAACAATGTGTAGCTGCATCTCTCTCTTTTGGTTCTATATCCAATGTATTCAACTTCCCCACCCACAGATCACAATCTTGTCAATCTCACAATGCCAAGCTGCTTTGTTGTGACACTTTGGGCTGCAAACAATGGTTTTGTAATTAAAGTGGGCTCACAAAGCACATACGGACACACCACCTGTCCTTTTTGAACACTACACAGCTCCAGCATCGAGATTTAACTCAGAACAAGGCCGAACAGGATGCTATACAGGATGTGACAGACAGAGATGTGGATATGGAAGACAAAGCAACACAGGATGAGGATGAGGATCAGATGAATAATGAGGATATAGAACCTGTACAGAATGGTGACAAGGACATCCCTCCACACGAGGAAAGGCCAGATCCTGAGTTTGAATACCATCCGTTCATTAATGGTGATTATTCTGTCTTTTTACTATGTCTTTTTACTATTTCAATCTTTGATTATTTATTCAGGTTTGCCGTGTGATGAACACAGTGTCTATCTATGTACCTGCAGGAGAGCCGCCTATTCCACCGCAGAATCCCTCCAAGGACGACTGGACACCATATCGTGATCACATTGAATTTGAAGCTGCCAAACTGCTGCATCAGAAAACACAGGTGTCTGCTGGGGATATCAATACGCTCATGGACCTTTGGTGTGCATCCTTTGGTGTCATGGGTGGACGAATATCTTGTCCTAACACATGGCAGAAAACGTGCAGACCAAATCTTAGATGATATTGACTCTCGGTAAGTAGTGTTGTTCCTGACTTTCCAAATTCATACTTACAAGCCCCCAAACAATAGTATTGCTGCCACACCATCATTTCCTGGTCTACGCAGGTTTCCCCAAGGCCATGGATATAAGCAATGGATGGGGGATGACTCCAAAGCATTGATGAAGGTATGTTTATCCCATATTGCTCACATAGTGACTAATTAACTATCCTAGGTCTATCTTCCTGCGCTTGTGGGTCATGTACCTGATGGCATTGTACTCACCTTCCATGCATTTTTAGACTTCTGTTATCTTGTACAACATGAAATACAAGATGACAATACAATTGCTGAAATTAAAGATGCACTGGTATGTTTCCATCAGCATCAAACTATTTTCCAGACCCTCAGTGTTCATCCTACTGGCTTCTCCCTCCCTCGCCAACATTCTCTCACGCACTACCCTCTCCTCATTTGTCAGTTTGGGGCCCCGAATAGCCTCTGTTTGTCTATCACTGAGGCAAAACACATCAAGGCTGTCAAAGAACCTTGGAGACATTCCAGCCATTATGAAGCCCTAGGACAAATGCTTACTACAAACCAATGACTTGACAAGCTAGCGGCATCACGTGTGGATTTTACAAGCTGAGGGATGCTTGAGGATGATATTCTAACATATGCATGGGCCAATGCCAACTTTGAGCTTGAAGGTAAGTTCTTTCTTCTGTGTAACTACATGGTTAGTCAACTATCTCTTTTCAGATCTTAGGGACATAGAAGAAGATGCCAATGAAGTCAGGACCAGCAACTAAGCCCACATCAACGAGGATAGCTCTGGAAGTGGGCCTGTAGGAGGACCAGTGACAGTCAGTTACACAATAATGGGTACTTGGTGCCATAAGTTTCTGTGTTCTTGTAAATTTGAGTTAACTAATTATGTACCTAATTACATGCAAACACCTCAAGAAATCGGAGAACAAATCCAACAACCGCCCTTTGTAGAGCACATCCAACAATTTTTATACAGCCAGGAACATCTGGACAACCCAGACGCTCCCCCCTCATATGATGTTCCCTTGAGAGCTTGCCCCAGGCTTTCCCCCAACACAAAAATATCAGTGGTGCACTCTGCAACCATATATTTCCACGCACCAAGTGATGAAAGTGGTGTTGGTGGGATGCATTGTGAAGTGATCCGTGTAACACGGCAAAAAGGTCCAGCTCGGTGTCATGCACCAAAGTTGGTTGGTAGCATGGACAGGTGTCAATAACGAAGCAAATATTCAAAAGATTCGCCTTTGCGCCACACAGGCACAGTGCCACGTGGAATAGTAATTAATATTGCCTTATTCAATCTTGTGGCTGATCAGCACCACCTCTATTAGGCAGTCTAGTCGCGCTCACCTTTGCTTTCCATTCGGTACTTTCCGTGTTTCGGCATTTTGGCAAATTTTTGCGTCGCTACTGGCTACACATTGTATTGCGCCCTCGCCCTCATCGTTTCCCTTACTCCCCTTCCTTTGCCTAGCCCCACCATAGGCCCCTTACTCTCGTTTTTATTCTCAGCCGACGGTCATTTCTGGATCCCCATTCTAATCCACCTCTTTGTCACCTCCAGCCTCTTCCTCCTCATCTTGTTTGCTCCCCCACCATTTCTGATGTCACCACTTCCTATCCACTTCCGTCGCCAATCCGTTGACTACCACGTGCCCCTGCTGATATCAGCAAAGCCCTGGCGGCCGGTTCAAATAGGGCAACAGGTCCATCTTCATGACATTGATCTGCCATTATATACTATCAAAACATTGGTTGCTCGTCTCGCCTGGTTGGAGCGTGGGTGGGTAGTTTTTGAGCTGGAGAAGGTTCATCCCTTTGCGTTGCCCATGTTCATTGCTGTCCCATTCATGGGTACACTTATCTTTTGTCCATTGTCTTCGCTACAGCTACACCTACCACACGCTGCCTGGGACTCACTTGTTCCAAATTGGAACTACTCCTCTCCCTCCCTCATTTGATCAGGTGGTCCAACACAACCAGTCTATTGGTAAGGCCATGGAACTGTCGGATTTGGACTAGGTGGTGGACCGGTGGCTCCAGTTTCTTTTTCTTCAGCAGAACATTCATTTACAGTGCAATTATTTTTGATTTTTGAATCATTTTTATGGACACATATTTTTTAGAATGCCTGACTGACAATAAAGGAACTGTGTTGATACTGATAGTGTTTTGCCTTGTCCAGATTATAACGAGGATGGCTCACCTACACTTCAGGTTATCCATACAGACTGCATCATGCAAGCGGCTCATATGATGCCTGTTTTTGATGGAGCTTTGATAGGAAAAGATATCAACTGTGCTAATTCTCTTGATTCTTTTGACTCATTCTATGTTAATAAATTTATTGATCACAATGCATTCGAAATTGCTTTCTAGTCTTACTTGTCTTATTAGTCATTTTTCAGAACAAATTCATCTTAGTCTTTCTCAACCACTTATAATGGCTTTTCGGTCTTGTGACCATAATCTTAGTCTTAGAATACATGATTTCCGACAGCTTTATCTTGGCCTTAGTGTCACTTATCTGCCTTTGTTGGCTTGATATGGCTTGACATAGCTTACGATTGAAAATAAGACGCCTAAGATACAAGTAAATTTCCTGATGTACATCTCCTGTGAGCGACAATTTATTTACTTTATCAACAGACTTATATTCTTCATATACTAAACCTTTGTCTTCTGCAAATTGTTTAGTTTTCTTGCAATTTAAAATGTCTCTAATACATTTTTGACCTACTACTATTGGTGCGTGACACAAGTTCTCTAAAGCGACTGGATTATTCATATGAAGGCTTTGTAGTAATCTTTTTTCTCCTCAACGTATTTGAGATAAAAGATCTATAAAGACGGGATCGTGTTTTGCACGTGTTTCAAATGAACAACTTTATTGACTTTGCGCCATAAGAAAGTGCCGTGTAAAGCACTTTGGCCTAATGCAGAATCAGTTGTTCTCTTCACCAACGTTTGCACTAACTCGTAGCTAAAACCTGCATGAGATTGCACAGGTTTCAATTGGCCAAAGTCCCCAGTGAAGATGACATTTACACCTCCAAATGGCTTTCCAATTGATCGATTGAGTGTCCCAAGCTTTAGCCTGTGCAATCGGTGTGATACTTGGCTAAGCAATTTGGGTGATACCATTGACATTTCATCTAGGACAAGGTACTCAACATTCCTCTAAATTGATTCAAGTTTGTCTTGCTTAGGTTTCCACTTAGTCTTTGGCAAAAAAAGTCAATGCATAGATTGTATATCCTCCTATCAACACCGCTACACAACCAGTCAAAGCACTGAGAAGAATTTTGTTAAATACGTTAAATTGTGCAAAGATTTCGACAATAGTCTTAATTACATGGCTTTTTCCTGTACCTCCCATGCCTGTGATAAACAAGAGAAGCAGTTCCTGATTTTTGGCGGTGAGGTGATTGGCTACAATCCTGATGGCGCGTTCTTGTTCATAATTCCCTATGATCTCAAAACAGCATAAAATATCATCCACAATGAATAGTGTATCATCATTAATATTAAAATCTCCAGACAAGCCACTGCCACTAGCCTCCATATAATGCAAAGTTGTTTTGGCTCCATTGTCAACTCGGACATTGTCCACTTCTATCTTACGTTTTGCATGCTTGATTCTCAAGAACGACATTGGACGGTCGCCTGTTGGATCTTTCAATTTTCATGAAACTGGTAAGTCTTTTTATTTCTGCCTTATCAGAGACACTGGCTACTGGACTATCAATTAACATATCTCCACGCAGAGCAGAGCAGAGACTGCTGACCGAAATAATCCGACTTGATCAGCTGTTTTTGCAGCTTCTAATGCATCATGTAAGCTAGGATCTGTCACATTCAAGTCACTTTTCTGCAAATTAATGTAGTCGTCGTCATCATCATTATTGTCTGCACTATCTAATAGAGAATCCACTAATAAAGCTTCTTCCAACTCATCATTATCATCTTCCTGATTCCTGCTTATGAAAGGTAAACTATCCAAGATATTATTTTGCAATGATTCAGACATTCCATCTCGAGCATCCTTGCACTCATTCTAAATGTCCATATTTTTCATAATCTGCAGCAAATGAGGAGGAAACTCAATGTGGTCAAACACTTCTGTCCAAGTAGCAAAAGCTTCTTTGAGGTCAGTAAATTCTCGCCAAGGTTTAGAGAGCAAGAGCATTAACCTGCACCACAAGTTGTGCTCTTCTTCACTACAATTACATTTAGGTACTGAATCTATCAATAAAACAGGCACAACAGACGCAGACCTAAGTCTAACAAAATGAGTAGCATACTGCAGATGTAAATCATTCAACAATTTGGCATGTTCATTACTTCTCCTTCCGCGCCTTTGGTTACCGCGGCCATCAGCCTCCATCAGCTCTGGATTCCTTTCTCCATTGCCTTCCGTAGAAATAGTGGAAAGCATACAATTTTGACGACCCACTCTGTAAACTCCCACAAATAAAGAGCACTAAATGATTCTTCCGCAGGTCTTAGTGTATAATCTGCTACCCCATCTAACATATTGACCTCATTATGCTTAACAGTCAAAATTGTTGAATTGAACTGTGGACTATCATCATCAAGGTCAACTACAGCGTCTTCCTCCGTATCAGTAGCGAGTGAATTGTGTCGAGCAATCAACAACTGCTGCTCATGTGCATGCAGAGCATCACTAAATTTGAATAACTTCAATGTCTCAAAAGTATGACTTGCATAAAAATCTCCTCCTCCTACAATATAACTCATTATCTGCTGATGTGACATTTCCTGTTTTCCCATATACGCATTCACGCACTTGGTAAGCAAATATTGTTCCTGAGTTGAGCGCGAAGACATACTATCATTGCTATACTTTTTGTCATGTTGTTTGATGGCATACTCAAGGGCTCCTAATCCTACGTGAGTCTGCAAGTTCGTCTTAGTGATGTAATCTGTAACATAATAGACCAATACTTTTGCAGCTTGACCAGAACCAATATATTTAATATCCATATTCCCTTGTAAAAGAAACATAACTATGTTGGTGAAATTGTTAATACGTGGATGGAAGCAATGCAAAAGAATGGATTGAGTCTCATCATCTATCTCTGTCAAAGCACAAACTTCTCCATTTAACCGCATCCTACAATTATGCTCAGTGCGACGCTCTCCATTTTTTAAATGCTTGTAGCATGTTTTGGTATGCTTGTGCCAATTGCACTCAATGGCTAATCTTGTGACAAACAACCAAAATTCTTCAGCAAAAGAATCCTTATCCATGTCAATAGCTTGCGGTGGTATCTCTAAATGTGGATCTATCTCATTTTCATCTCTGACAGGTTTAACCACAGAAGATAGTGTTCTGCTCGGTATACATGACATTGTTCCTGGCAATTTGCAGGAGATAATGTCTTCCAGCCAAGAAAACATCTCCTGTTTGAAATCTTCTTCAATTGCCATTCAATCATGCAGCAATTGGGGACCAGGATTTCCTTCCAACCATAAGAGCATATGGCAATGAAGTGTCCCTCTCCCTTGGGCCTCCACCATACCGTAATACCCTTTGCATATGCCAAAGTAGCGACGCTCATTGTTCAGCTTAACAATAATTTCAAAGAATGCGGTGATCACACAGTCGAACACTTTTGCAGCAACAGCAGGATGTTCAGCAACATAATTAGCCCTTGCAAAAGAGCCCATTGATTGCCAAACATCAACCTGTATGTAACAACCAAGAGTTATTTGCTCTGGTGCACACAGGAACACACTATAAAGGTAATGATGGGGAGTGGTTACCCCTTAGGCTGCAGTGAGTTAGTTGTGCTAGACAACAGAAGGACTCGCTGAGGAGTCTCCTTGATCTATTAGGGTATATATACTACTACAGGTTTGTTTGTACATATGTACTATACAGTTGTAAGTAAGGTTTAAAGTCCGATGTTTAGCATGTGACCAATCACATGATGAGTCTAGACATTGGTCAGGTGATGAGTCACATGACCGGTCATGTGACTATGAAAAGTCGAAAATGTAATGTAAAGTAAATGGTCACATGACTGGTCATGTGACTTGGAAAAAGTAAAAGTAAAAGTACGAAAAAGTGAAGTGTAAGTAGGTACTAGTACGTCAATTGTCACACTGTATGCCACCAAAGACCAGAATCAAGTACATCATTAAATCATATGGATTAATAGTTACAAACAAAGCAGGAGTACTAAAACTCTTCATCATAGCTCGAATCTCATTCCTGCGATATATTTTGTAGCCCGCAGAACCTTTCACTTGGCTACTAACAACATTCAATCGATCGGTGGAGAACCTTCAAAGCCTTTTTCTCTTCCTCTGTTTCTCCTTGATATGTTGGATGTAACAACCAAGATTTACTCTGGCGCACACAGGAACACACTATAGAGAAAGATGATGATGGAGTGGTTACCCCTTAAGATGCAGAGAGTTAGTTGGTATACAACAGGAGGACTCGCTGAGTCTCCTGGATCTATTGGAGTTTATATACTACTACAGGGTTGTTTGTACATGTGTACTATACAGTTGATAGAAACAGTGGCTGATGATGTCATAGGGCCTAGCCCGCATGGCCAGCTCCACTTTGTGGGAGAGTTGTGTCCAAAATAAGAAGAAGGCAATGCGGCGCGAGAAAGGGGAAGTGCCACGTGACACCATGTGTGAAAGCTAAAGTATAAAGTTAAAGCGGAGAATAAAAGTAAAGAGAAGGTCCAAAAATTGTGTTATCGTAACATTGGATGTTCATGAAATTTCGCTGACAATGCGCCAAAATTAGGCCCAATTGAAAGGATATCAGCAACTATACTAAGATGCGAGTTAGACTTCACCCAAAAGGTAGTGGATGCACTAACTTCTTGTTTTTGAATTGTATTCCAACATATAAACACAAAGTTTGGATCTTTTTCAAAGGGAGAGTCCTCTTGCCTCAACAAAGCCTTCAATTGACTATGAAAAGATAATTTTTGCGCATCAGTTTGCATGGGATGATGAAAATCACCAATGCCCCATGGATCAAGATGAGGAAAGAGAAAAGACATAAGGCCTGGATCATCATCATGTACGAACTGACTGCCTGACCACGACATGATGAATTTATTATGGTCTAAAGCGAACGCAAGAGCGTGTACCTTCATAGCTTCCCGATTAGATGCAGAATGGTCACCGGCTGTAAACCCTACCGCTTCCATCAACAAGGCCCCATCACCAACATCCTCAATCAATTTGTCCCTCGTCGTGTAGTCTGCAGGGGCTTTATCATCCTCACGAGTAAACTGACTAATCTCTACTGCAGAAGGAATTACCGCGTCCTTATCAGCATCATCATTGCTGAATAATGTATTCAAATTTGCCTCGCTGAACGACACGCCTCTCAATATATACCACGGATTATAAAGAAGAAGAAAATCTATCATAGTCACTAAGTGCAACTTCCTCACCAAAATCAGTTTGAGTTTCCTTAAAAGTTCTTTGTCAATCTTGGCATCATTGCTAACCAGCAAAGCACACATTGTATCACATATCTCATCATAGTCTGGAGGAAGTACACTTCTTAACTGAAAAGTGTCTTGGGGCAACACTGAGACATTACCTTTTGAGTAGCTTTGCAACATTCCTTCCGGTCTTCCATATGACACACTCTCTGGCTTTCTAGAATACTTGTGACAAATCACCGAAGCTCTACAGTACGCCACTAATGTAATATCTAAAGGGGAAGACGCATCCAGCGTGTGGGCGAAATTCATAGGAAGGCGTAACTTGCCATAGTAAAGGAAGTTGGCTAAAGCGAATTTCGGCTGCTTCCCTTGTCCCACCAATGCATGCTCACACAATTTACACATAACCAAATCTCCCAATGTCCATCTAAATGTCATACCCAACGTACTCAACAATGCATGGTCATATAACGCAAAATTGTAATCCTCAGGCAATGTATATGAAGGTAAATAAGGGTTTTGCAACAGTGACAATGAGAACGAAGACAACGTCACTTTGTGAAGCTCACGAACACCAAATGTCTGTGCCCAAACAGCGCAAGTACCTCGAGTAAGTGACCTTACTGTTACAATAACACAATTTTTGGACTTTCCCTTTTACTTTTATTCTCTGCTTTAACCTTGTACTATAGCTTTCACCCATGGTGCCACGCGGCACTTCCCCTTTCTCGCGCCACATTGCCTTTCTTTTGATTTTGGACACAACTCTCTCACACAGCGGAGCTGGCCATGCGGGCTAGGCCCCATGACATCATCAGCCACTGTCTCTATCAACTGTATAGTACACATGTACAAACAACTCTGTAGTAGTATATAAACTCCAATAGATCCAGGAGACTCCTCAGCGAGTCCTCCTGTTGTATACCAACTAACTCTCTGAATTCTAAGGGGTAACCACTCCCTCATCATCTTCCTTATAGTGTTGTTCCTGTGTGCGCCAGAGTGAATCTTGGTTGTTACACTTACACTCATACAATCTTGCCATTCCTCTACTAATGCCTTCTTCTCAGACATAGTACGCTTCACAGGAAATTTAACAGGAAATTTGACAGGTGATTCCATGCTAACCAAAACCACTGCAGGTTCAGCGTTCCTTCTTGCTGTCTGTCTCTCACGCCTGCGATGAAGCGTGTTTCTGACATCCGCTACATCATCGAAAGGACAAGGCAAAATGCTCTTGCCAGATAAAATTCTCTGACAACAAACATGCTTAAACAAGTACAATAAACACGAGCAATAAGGGTTACACACATGGGTACGGAGGCAATCACGAATCCATAGCTTTTTACAACACAATCCAATAGCAATACCATGAACCTCTGCAATTGAACACAAATCAGCGATAGAAAAGAACTCGAAATCTTCAACAAGAGTGCACAAAGACGCAGTACTAACTACAAGATAATCCCCTTGTGGATACATGCGTCTCAAATCAATTATTTTCTCGTACATAGAATAGAAGTCAAATCTCTTGCGCAAACATTCACTAGACACAAATGAAGTACCATCCCCTGCCGTGAGTTCATTAGAAGACACGTAAGGAACAGATTCTTATCACAAATTGCAAATCACAACAAGGAAGAGTTAAACATTAAATCAGTCACGCAAAGACAAAAAAAGAGCATTATTCACAGTCAGAATATTAGGGGCCAGGTGAAACCCATCTTCGACAGATACTGTTGGCAAAGATTCAGCTGCCACTTCAACACACATTTGTATTGGTTCTCACATAATTCTCACATGCCCACTTGAAAAGACGCCGCTGACGAGGAAGACGCAGCGCAATGGGAAATCATGATGACAATTGGTAGAGAAATGGCTGTGAGCCAGAGGACCCGAAAGCGATGTACAATTGCGCTAACATTCTCACGCCACAACTGAACCGTCAAATTTCTCGAGGGCAGGATTTATTTTGCCTTACCTTCTGGGCCAGGAAAAAGGTCCTTGGAAAATGCAGCGGACATTTGTGCTTTGGAAACCTGGAACCTACGGGTCCAGGAATTATTTTGGTATTATTAAAATTAAAACTGTAATAATACTGCAAGGTTTTTTTGACATTATTCTGGTATTATTTGGAATTTTCACGCCATAATCCCTCAGTTTTTTTAGTCCTCAAAGTGCAGTGTCTCACAATGGCTATTAATACAGATTGGAAGTACTGTACAGCTGTGATGCCAGTGCCCTGGAGCGATTATACTTAGCGGCTATTTCCACCAATGGGGGATCTTACCATGCTACTATAGCTAATAAGTTACGTTTTACAGCTCAGGTCGTGTCTTCATCACCGCGACTGCGACCGAATACCATCTATTCGGTTTAGCTAGTGTCTGTGATGAGTGCACTTATAAGGACCCTAAGGGTTGTGGACACCAACGTTTGTCTCATACACCCACTTGTCTTTACAGACAATCATATCTGTCGCTATTTTCTGAATCCATGTCGCTCATTTCCTCCTTATGCGTAAGCAAAGACCCACCCCCCCCAAAATCTTCACTTGACGAAGCAGATATCACACCTGAAGTGTCGGCTTCATGGCTGAGTCTTCTTTGGTTTGGGTGGATGACGCCTTTGCTGTCTTTGGGTCACATGCGACCTCTCGAGGCCACTGATTTGTACAAGCTTCCACATGAGCGTACGGCAGCTCAAATAGCAGACAAGATACTAGCATCGTTCGACGAGCGATGTAAAAGGGCTGACGAGTACAACGTACGGCTTACCCGCGGAGACATAGGTCCTGGCTTGAAAGGTTTATGGTGGTCAGCGACAGGCAACCGAGTGGAACGGGAAAGACAGTGGAGGGAAAACGATGGCAAGCGTCAAGCAAGCCTAGTTTTAGCAATCAATGACAGTATCAAGTGGTGGTTTTGGTCAGCTGGAATCCTAAAAGTTATGGGAGATACTGCACAAGTGACAAGCCCGCTTGTTGTTAAGGCAAGTATCTCAAATACCATGTGATCGACCAGACACATTAAACTGGCTCTTGACAGGCTATCGTTATTTTTGCCACAGAGTCCTATGTCAGTCACTTTACTGGCGCACCGGTGCCCTCTATCGGAGTGGGTATCGGCTTGTCATTCGTTCTCCTGGCTTTGCAAGTTGTCAACTCGTGGTGTACCCATCACTTTTACTATCGCAGCATGTCAAGCGGGGTTTTAGTTCGCGGAGGGCTCATTGCAGCTATCTACTCGCGGTCCCTTCGTCTATCTGGTCGAGCTCGTTCCACCCTCAGCAATGGGAAACTTGTGAACCATATCTCTACAGATGTGTCTCGAATTGACTTCTGCCTCGGCTATTTTCACATGTCCTGGAGTGCACCCATCCAACTTGTTATTTGCCTCATATTATTGCTCGTGAACCTGGGTCCTAGTGCACTGGCTGGCTTTGCGGTGTTCGTTGTGGTTACTCCTTTGCAGAGTATCTTCATGACTCGGTTATTCACGTTGAGACGAAGCAGTATGCAATGGACTGATAAACGTTCGAAGCTTCTTCAAGAACTGTTAAGTGGTATCAAAGTCATTAAATTCTTTGCTTGGGAGATCCCATTCCTCAAACGTGTATCTTCCTTCCGACGAGAAGAAATGGGGTGCGTTTATTCATTTAGATTGGATTTTCTATTCCACAAAACTGATAACATGGCTGTCCAGGTACATCCGGTCCCTACTTATCGTTCGAGCAGGACTGAGTGCCATGGCTATGTCGTTGCCTGTCCTGTCCTCTGTCGTGGCATTTATTACCTACTCGTTGGCAGGTCATACACTTAATGCAGCTATCATTTTTTCTTCGCTCGCGCTGTTTCAGCTGATTATGATACCATTGATGTTTCTACGTGAGTATTCCAGTCCTCTTCCCTGGTGCAAAGTTTTACGTGCTTTCTTTCTAGCAATGTCGTTGAGTACCATCACTGACGCCCATAATGCTGTCATCCGTCTTCGGGGCGTCTTCGAGGCTGAAATGTTGGATGAGACTGTGGTAATCGATAACGACTTGGACGTTGCTATCAGAGTACAAGGCGCTAGCTTTTCCTGGGACAGCTCTCCCAAGCCTGGAGAACGAGGACAGCCTAAAGGTTCTAACCTGGAGGGGGAAAGCAAAACCCCTGCTCCCACAGCAGATGAAAACAACGATGACGAAGAGAAAATATTCAAGTTGACCGATATTGACTTCTCAATCCCGCGTGGACAATTGTGTGCCATTGTTGGTGCAGGTGAGTATTATGTGGTGGTTTTTTAATATTCTCCAAGTACTCACATATTACTTTTCCTCAGTTGGAGCGGGTAAAACGTCCTTGCTGCAAGGTCTCGTCGGTGAGATGCGTCCAACAGCTGGCTCTGTTGCGTTTGGTGGCACCATTGGATACTGCGCTCAAACTGCTTGGATTCAGGTGAAAAAATAACCTCAACTCCTTTGACAGTATAATGACCATGTATAGAATACCACGATTCGTGAGAACATTTGCTTTGGGAGGCCATTCGAGGAACAGAGATACTGGAAAGCCATACGCGATGCCTGCTTGGAACCTGATTTGGAGATGCTACCTAATGGTGATCTCACAGAAGTTGGCGAAAAGGTGCGTGCGTTTTCGCAAATTTAGAACGGGGCACTAACCATTGGTTCAATCAAAAATTCCCAAGGGTATTTCACTTTCTGGCGGACAAAAACAACGAATCAACATCTGTCGTTCTATCTATTGCGACACTGATATACAGATTTTTGATGTGAGCGCTGCGGAGTTTTTCCTATGTAATTATGTTCAATTATCACCTTTAGGATCCCTTGTCGGCTCTCGACGCCCACGTTGGAAAAGACGTGTTCCAGAATGTTCTTAAGGGAAATCTAGAAGGGAAAACCCGTGTTCTCGTAACGCACGCTCTTCATTTTCTCCCCCAAGTGGATTACATATACACTCTACTTGATGGCCGTATCGCAGAACGAGGCACATATTCCGAGCTCATGGCAAATGATGGCGCTTTCTCCAAGTTTGTCTGTGAGTTTGGATCAAGCGACAAGTCCGACGATAGCGGTTCAAATAACCAGGAAAAAGTAGAAGGTAGGAAAGCGAAAGGTCTTGAAAATGCAGTTCCAGGCAAAGCGATAATGAAGGAAGAAGAAAGGAATACAGGTGCTATTGGTAGTGCTATCTACGGAGAGTTCTTCCGAGCGGGGAACGGACTCATAATCGCCCCTCTATTACTTATTTCTGTGATTCTGATGGAAGGCTGTAGTGTTATGTCGTCATATTGGTACACAGCCTATTTACATGTGATCATAAATTGCTCTGCTCACCCATTATTTACATAGGCTTGTTTACTGGCAAGAAAGGTCCGTTATCGTGGAACGTATTTATGTCTACTTACATTTTTGAATAGGAAATGGCCACAATCCCAGGGTTTCTACGTGCGTCCCAATCGTCAGATGTGGAACCGAGGCTGACTGATAGTTTTTAGATGGGCATATATGCTGGCATCGGTATTTCTCAAGCCTTGAGTAGCTTTTTAATGGGAACTACGTTTGCTTTTTTTGTCATTTACGCTTCACAAGCACTCCATGGTGTGAGTGCAGCGATTTTATTTGTCAACAGCCCTCATCGTTCTTGCTCCCCCAGAAAGCTATAAAACGCGTATTGTATGCACCGATGAGCTTTTTTGAGACGACAGTAAGTAACCTATTTATTATCTACCTCTTTCCCCTGTTTCAACAAAACATATTAGCCACTGGGGCGCATTATGAACCGATTCACCAAAGGTATATATCTTATAGACTCGGTGATTATCCTACTAATCGATAACGTAGACATGGACACACTTGACAATATGCTCGGAGGTATGTAGTCTCCCTGCTTGTATGTCACCGTAGTTAAAGCCTTACCACACATACAGACTCTATGCGACTGCTGGTTGCCACAGGCTCTTCAGCCCTAGGTTCTATCATATTAATATCTGTCATTGTGCCGTGGTTCCTCATTGCGGTCGCTGCCGTTTCTGTATGTTACTTCTACGCCGCGCTGTTCTACCGTTCCAGTGCTAGGGAGCTCAAGGTATTTAATAAGTTCTTTCTGTATAAACCAATCATTGACAAATTCTTCCCTCTGTGTAGCGGCTTGGTCTGTGTGAACTCTTTCTTTCAGATTGCTTGTTTGTCTAATCTAATTCTCTTAGACGCTATCCTGCGGTCGTCATTATATTCTCACTTCTCTGAATCGCTCTCTGGTTTGACCACCATCAGAGCATATGGCGAAATTGCTCGTTTCCAAGCGGAGAATGAGAAACGCGTGGACATCGAGAATCGGTGAGACACGAACTTTGTTGTTACCATCATACGAGCAGGCCTGGCTCATCATTTGCAGTGCATATTGGCTTACAGTGGCAAACCAGGCAAGTGGGATTATGTTCATTGGACGAACTAGCTGCCAACACTTTTTCCAGAGATGGCTCGGCATGCGACTTGACTTCCTTGGTACTGTGCTGACTTTCGTCGTTGCATTAATAACGGTAGCTACGCGGTTCAGTATCTCTCCCGCCCAGACTGGCGTGATATTATCATTTATTCTGTCAGTCCAACAAGTGCGTATATTTTTTTTGTTTTTCTCATCTTTATTCAACATGCTCTTTCTGAAAATTTCTAGACATTCAGTATCATGGTTCGCCAAACTGCAGAAGTAGAGAACGATATGAATGCAGTAGAGCGTATCGTACACTATGCTAACCAAGCAGAGCAAGAGCCTCCCCATCAGCTTGACGCATGCACTTTATCTACTCCATGGCCTTCGGAAGGACAAGTAGAGATGAAGGATGTTGTTTTGAAGTATCGTCCTGAACTTCCTCCGGTTCTGAAGGGCCTTTCAATGTCGATAAAACCTGGAGAGAAGATAGGGATTGTTGGCCGGTAAAATGTTTATATCTCTATCCATCATACCCTTTAGCTAATACTTTACCAGCACGGGTGCTGGCAAATCGTCAATCATGACGGCCCTTTTTCGCATCGTGGAACTAGAATCTGGTTGTATATCGATCGACGGCGTTGATATATCTTCTGTGGGTCTGATGAAATTACGGAGTGGGCTTTCTATCATTCCTCAGGAAGCTGTGAGTTTGTTGCATATTTGATTCTCCTTGTATATTGACTGATGCGCCGTGTCCCTTGTAGTTCTTATGTGAGATTTTTCTGGTATACGCGTGTTCTCGTGACTTAATATCTGTATAGTTTCCGGTACACTGAGGTCGAATCTAGATCCTTTCGAGTTGTACGACGATGCCAAGCTCTGGGATGCATTGAAGCGATCATATCTCGTTGAACCGTCGAAGGAATCACTGCCTGAAGACACATTGGACGAAAAAGCACCAGTTGCTCGGTTCAACCTAGACAGCCCCATCGACGAGGAAGGTAACAATCTTTCGGTTGGACAAGTGAGCTGTATTTCATTGTTTGAATGGCCAGCAATTGACTCATGGCTTTGTCTCGCAGCGATCCTTAGTCTCGTTAGCGCGGGCTTTGGTGAATGACACGAAAGTGCTCATTTTAGACGAAGCAACGGGTATGCTTATCTCGAATACCTGATACCCTCATGACGTTGAACCTTCACCACCTTCACCAGCGTCTGTTGACTATGAAACCGATCGCAAAATTCAAGAAACTATTATGACGGAATTCAAGGATAGGACGATATTATGCATTGCTCGTGTGTATTATCGTTTGCCTGTTATTAATCTATCCTCATGTTTTTTTTTGTCAGATCGTCTACGTACTATCATATCATACGACAGAATATGTGTGCTTGATGGCGGCCGCATCGCTGTGAGTATCAGTTTCCGCTTATTCCTCATTTTCTCTACTGAGCTATTATACCAGGAATTCGACACGCCAAGCACACTATATTCCATACCTAATAGCATATTTAGAGAAATGTGCGATCACTCTTCCATCTCTTTGGACGATATTATGTTTGGGTCCAAAAGGATGGAAGTTGAATGAACTATCGTCTACTACTTTTACCGGTCATTTACTCGTACACAAGTTATATATCAAATTTTCAAAATATGCGAGTCGATCGCTAGCAAGATACAGACATCTACTAGTATACTGCAATCATATTAATCAATCATATGACACCATCTGCTGTATATACTCGGGGTGTTGGGGGATATGTCATCACGCATCCAGCGATACGCAATTCTGTAATCCTACTAGCAAATACGGGATTTGAGATATCATCTGATTCTCTGGTGTTGAAAAACAGAGATCAGTCCCACCATCATGCCTGAGCTGACAGGAATCTTTGCGAGTGACAGTAGCCGGTGCCTCGTGTTTCCCTCCCTTAGATTTCCGGTTATCCCTTTGAGTGAGTCTCTAAGGTATATTACTGCCAGCAGCAATATTAATAGCAAGGCTCTACGGGAAACATAGTCTCGAGAATTTGTGTGTCGCCAGACGAGGGTGTAATACGGTTTGAGCGAGGCGAAAATACGTACGGGCTCCTGCTAGAGATCAGGACAATCAATACTTCTAAACCTGGTCACCCAGGAATAGCACTGCGTGTTCTAAGGTTGTGACGCCAATTCCTTTAGGCGGCGTTCTGCCTCTGTCCATTCGCTCAAGGATCCTTCCTGTGCAAGCCAATCCCAGTTCTCATTGATAGCATCTTTCAGCCGCGCAAGTCCCTCCTCTTCTTCTGACCGGTCCTTGCCATCGTAATACCCAGGCGCCACGAAGTCGTACATGTACCCGGTGCTAGCAGCTCTTTGAGAGATTTGTGTGGCAACCGGCAGTCGTATATCTTGGTATATACGAAGGACATCGGGTAGGTTAGACAGAGTTGTGAGCTCATGGGATAGGAGTCGGCCGAGAATAAAGGCATCCTGAATGACAACGTCATGAGTGCTGACTTCAGCTTGCTCGCTTTGCTCGTACCTCAATAGCCTGCCCTGCACCAGCCCCGAGATTGGGCGTCATGGCATGGCACTAAACGTCGCGGAGTGAGTGATATAAAGAACAAGCAAAAGGCAATTCGAAAACGATACATACCGCATCGCCAATGATCGCAACGTGTCCCGAGGTCGAAATATGTAAATCATTCGTTACATGAAGCGCCCATTTGGATGGTCTCTCACAGCACTGATGTAACATTAGCCTGCAACGCATCACCTGGACGAATTGAACGCCATACCTGAAGAATAGCCCTAACCTCGGGCTCAAAATCTTTGAAAGAGTTTAGAAGTTCCTGTTGTGATACATTAGAGACCCAGTGTCCTTCAATTTTTTTGCCGATATCTTCCACATTAGTGCAGGAAGCTGCTACGTTGATGAGGGTGCCCCGCAAAACAGGATAAGTTATGATATGCTAACATGTAAAGAATGTCAGAATATCAATGTCAAGAAAGAATCGGAGGTGAATGCTGACTCTATTCTTGCCGCAGTACTGTTTATAAGATTCAGTTAGCATATCTTGAAAATGAGATCAAACGCGCGGTACAAACAAACATCATGTTCCCCGTAGCTGAACTCCCGGGGTAAAGTTTCTCCAATCTTTCAGTCGGAATCAGTGATCTGTAAACGACGGTTCCTGTCCATTTAGAATCAATATATTCTGACAAACGTTGAACATCGATTTCTGATGGACTGGTCTTTGCCAATCCTTCAAAGAGTGCTTTACGCGTAGCGGACCTAATCCCATCGGCGCCAATGAGTACATCTGCTAACGCCGTGCTCTTGTCCGAGAAGTGCAAGGTCAAGCCGCCAGAGTCGTCTTGTGTATAGGTTTTCAAGCGTTTCATAGTATGGATCGTACAACTTGGTGATAGATGTCGTACGAGGAGATTTACCAAGTCACGACGGTGAAGGTTGGTTGGGCTATCTAAACGTCCCCAGAGTTTTAATTCCAGCTAAAAACATGAGATGCTGTACTCACAAGTGAAGATTTGATCAAACCATTTGATACCTCCTTCAGGAATATCTGATTTTCGGAAAGAAGGGCCTGATGAGGAGAATGTGAGTTTGATGATCGCATCAAAGGTGGTGACTTACCATGACTGGCATCAGGAGGGTGTGTAGTTACTTCACCTAGGTCGGAGTACAAGCCAAGTTCTATCATTATTTCTCGCGTCCTGCGCCAGACCGATATTCCGGCTCCTGTAATGGTGACATCTGCCTGAGTCTCGTATAGATCAATGGGGACGTTCGAGTATTTTCCGAGAACAACTGCGAGTGTTAACCCGCCTACACCTGCACCACTGGTGACAATCCAATTCAGTTACGAAGCTCCACAAAGGATTCTTGAAGAAGACTTACCAAATTGCTACTCGATACTTGGCAGTGGTAGACATGGAAATCAAGTTCTCGGATACGGATGGAGACGGATTTCTTGGTGGAAGGAACTGGCTAGAGGTTGTACTAGTCATAAACTGGTCGCGTTTTATCCAATAATCTCCTCTGTATATTGTATTTGAATCATGGCTGTGATCGGAAGCACTTTAGGTCATAGTGACCGTCACAGGGATGTCCAAATGAAACAAGGGGCAGATACCTTTGCGCTTTCGAGAGTTCCCACAGAGTGTCAGACGGACTCGGAGCTTTAGCCTTAATCCAGACTTTGGAGTAAAGACAATATAGTATGGTTTTGCAAGAGGAGTGGTATGGTGAGATGGACAAGATTAAAACGGCGACAAAGAGACCACTTTACTTGGTGGAGACCGATTTAGGGGAAGGCCGGAACCAAATTGCGGAACTAAATGAACATACAGCCGCACCGAAATCCCACTCGCAACTATCTCGCCATTCTTTTGCGGGAGATTGTATATATGACAGGTTTGCCTTTAGTCCCAATAAATCAGCTGGCCAAAATTGTAAGAGGCGGCAGTGAGAAGCGGACTTGACTGCGTGTTCCAGTCGTGTTCCGTGTGTGGCAAATCTGCAAGGGTCAACCGACAGGAACGAGATCACAGAAAAAGATATTATGAATGATTGTTCTGACATGTAAAGCGTAGTAGTATGCATTGAATTGAGTACGTTTCTTTGTTTGGCCCGTCAACAAAGACTGAATACTAATTGCTACGGTCATCAAAGCAGGCAGAGCCCGAAAATGCATCCTTGGCCACTCCCGTATTTACTGACGTATTCCTGGTACCGTAGGTTACCAGGTCTCACATTCACAATTCGACACTGGAAATGGCACCGGTTGTTCGCACCGAGTATTTCGTTATGACTGTATGTTTCGCACGCCAATACTTGCACTTTAAGGTAGGGCTCACACACCACGTGATCTGTGACAACCTGTGACCCACTCAAATCCATGCTTGTTGTGACACTATTAACGGGACAGAGATAAGCGGAATCAAGCTGCAAAACTTTCGGTTTTGTGCGTGCCATTAGATATATACAAGAAAGTCACAGGTGATCATGTGACGTTAGTGCCTTAGCAGACGACTGAATCTTGTCAATGCAATTCATGTCACTTTGATTCGAGCTCACATGCCCACTTCAATATCGTTGTCGGTGCCAGGGGTGCCCGGAGGGCGATGCTGTCAGTAATTTGGTCTGACTGGGAAGACTACCACTCCCATCAGAATCATAGATCTATCCGATCTTCATATGATGGACCTGCAGTCCCGATTCAATATTGTCATCACATCAACGTACGCCTTCGACAGCCAAACGAGCCTACTCTCCGTCGGATTTGGGTCAAGGCATGGAGAAAAATGGTCTCAAGGTCAAATATGGAGAATTTATGATGTACCCCATGGCTGTCGAGAATCTCAACCCAGACAATTATCCTGATCCTCTGGAATAGGACCCTGCGCGGTGGGGTGATTCTTCGAAGTTGGAGCATGTCAATGATAGGTTTTGGATTGGGGTGTAGGTGACTTGACAATGTTTTTGTACTTCTACATCGCTGCGACTGATGGTGTTCATGACTAAGCTAAAACACCCTTGTCATGGAATGCGGATCGCAAAATTCGACATGATGATTACCATCGCGCTCTTCCTCCACATGTTTTGAGTACTCGCGCGTTGACAATCACAGCAACCCCTTCCCCAGTGTTCCAGAGCCCGATCTCAGTGACCCACGTCGTATAATTCCCAAAGGAGAAAGCCGTTACAAGCAATGTAGACGAAGGTCGGAAAGTGTAGCTAAGCAAATCTTGTGATTACTTTATGTCAGTCTTACGATTACTAGCAGTACAATTCAGATTTGCGCGCTGTGCTACTTTAAACATTCAACGTTTACCTGAGTTTTTCTTCATCCTTCAAAATACGACATTGGGAGAAGCACAACTTGAATCAAGAAAACAACCAATACAAATACACGCATTCCATTGGGGACACAGTACACATTGGATCCTCAATTACGTGAATTGGCTTATCATTTGGTGCAGCATTTTCGAGTCCAAACCCGTTGACCGTGGCTCAATGTGGCATGCAAACGAGGCCGGACGACTTTCAAAACGTGACAGTGGGTGGTGAGTGTGGGGTGCACTAGCAGAATGATAAACGTCAAACTCACACCGTCAATCCGTATGTCCAGTGCGGTTCAACGTTGATCTCTCGTCCTTGGTTATCTTTGGCTTTGGTGAACTTGAAGACTGCGAGAAGAGACACGATACTGGCCCAAACGCTTGCATCAGCTACATGCTTTCCGACACACACGCGCCTGCCAAATCCGAATGCATAAGGAACTGTGTCGTCGTTGAGTTTGTTATCTGCCGAAAGGAATCTCTCCGGGATGAAGTCTGATGGGTTAGAATACTTGACTTCATTTCGTGACATTGTCCTTGAAAGCGTTCAGATACGTATTGAAGATACAATATACGGGAGATATGACACACCAAGCGTTCGCGATTACCACCGCTCCTAACAAAAGACGTGAGAAACCTTTCAATAATGAGTAGGATAGAGGTATACCTCCTGGAATATGAAATCCTTCATAAATGTCGTCATTTACAGCAGCGTGTGCAAGGCCTGATGCGAATGTACCATTAGCAGGGATTTCCAGGGCTCGATGAATAGTCAACCTAAGGGTACAACAGGACGCCATCTATGCGTCTCGCGGAGTACAGCCTCAACGTAAGGCAGAGAACTACGATCTTCAAAATTAGGTAACCTATGCTTGTCCACGACAGAGTCGATCTCTGCTTGGGCTCGTTCTTGGACTTTTGGGTAAAGCACCATCGCAAGGATGAAGTCGATGAGAGTCGTAGCCGTCTAGTTACACACGTTAT